TTTTAAGAAGACCTCCGCACATTTTCGTAGGTTTATGCCACAGATTACAATGTAATAATCCTAAAAAACTAAACATCAATGTTTATTAAAACTTGAGACAAAAATGCAACATCCTCTTACAGATGATTCAATGTAAATTGTAATTGTATACGGATAGGATTGAGTTCATTCCATGACATTGACGGTAGATTCATGTTTTCCATTTTGATACCTGGACATGCTCGTTTTATTTGTAGGTAGTCATTAGTTGACAACAATTTTCGTTTGGAAAAAAACACGTTTTTCCCTGATATGTTTATTTGAAAACAAAAAGCCTTGATTGGTATAAAGCCGTAATTTATCGGGACCAGCTCTAGAATGACTCATTCTAATTAAAATTTTCAGCGTACAAAGCTGGTCGTTTACATTACACGAAAAAACTGAAGAGTAAATAGCTGCAAAACAGGATTCGAATATTTATTTCGCATAGAAAGGCATTAATCAATTGACTCGCGCAAAATAGTGTAACAGATACATTTTTGAATTTCATGTAAATTCGAAAACATTTCAACCAAAAATAAAAAGACCCGTTGTAAATGTTTATAAAAATTGCGTTCGTCCTGCGTCATACAAGGTTTTTTTCAAAATATATAGGTAACTTCGGAAATGCTTAATTTCCAAGAAACAGGGAGTTAAATATGAAAAAAGAAACGCCCTGTGCAAAAATCCTTACGTCGCAGACTACATTCCTGCAATGAGGCTCATTTTTATCATTATCTTTAGCGTTAATTATAATATGTATGAAAGGGTCCAAAAAAGAAATATTCATAAAAATAAGTTTTGTCAATTTTCGCGATTTTTATTTTTTCGTGAAACAAATTGCAAAAAAAATCAGTGGCGTGCATTTCAAGAATAATATTCGTTAAGATACCTCCCAGAGCGGAGCTGGAATTCAAAATTGTAATATAGTTGAAGTAAAATTAGTACTTTATCATTATCAATGAAGTTGAAATATTTCAACAAAAAGGGCCAAAAAATGCTGCAAAAAATCCGTTTTTTGGTAAGGTTCTTCAATCAATTAAACGAAATATGCATCGTTTTCTCAAATATGGTAATAGGTTGAGCTCAAATTTGGAATTATTTATATAACGTGGCGACTTTTGATAAATTCAATCCTAATTCAATTTTTGAAACGTAACACCCTATACAGGGTTTTATTGCTATTGCTAAAGTGGCCAAAAAAAGAACGTGAAAAACATTTACAAATTCACAGGATAGTCGTCAGTAATTTTCCTCTAAAATCCACCTAGCCAGTGTAAAGCGAAGCTTGATTGGAGTAATTTTTATTTAACACTTTTTATCGTATCTATTAAAATAAACAGCTGTAGTTCCTAAACGACTGAACGGATTTTCACAAAGTTGGTCGGTTTCCTAGGAAAAGCATTTATCGGCATATTAAACTCACTTTATCTGTGATATTTCTAATCCTTAGTAAGGCTGGTAATCTCTACGATGAATAGTTTCCAAGCACTTTGTATCCTACCTACCTCTTTTAAAATTATTAATATATGTTCAAAGAAAGTATTTGGAAAATTTTGCTCAATCAGCTGTTAACCACATCCGAAATAATTTTTGTGGAGAGTAAAATGATAATAAACAAATTATTATGATGAAATTTTTTGAAAACTAAAGTAACCGTCATTTTGTGTTTGGCCTCCGGTTTTTATATAACAGAAGTTCCAGACAAATTCTCTTGGCAAATATTTTCGCTCCAAGAAACTCCCAATGGCAGCTCTGCTCTTTTTTCTTTGCTGTAAAAATTCCATAGTGGCTTTCGCCTTATCTACCACGGATAGTCTTTTACGGAAATGTATTATACAGACGATGCTCAAGCACTTGCGTACTTAGCTTTGCGTACGATTTTGTTTCAAACCGTAGCATAGCGCTACCCTAACAAATTAATTAGCAAAGGAGCAAATTAAACCTCGTCTACCGCTCCTATCATTCTGCTAAATCAAATTTAAAACGATAAATATTTATATTGAAATTTTATAACAAACGAAATATTATTTGGCGGGAAAATCTGTAAATAATAAATCCAATTTAATCTTGTTAACCCAATATTTTTAATGAAGCTTTCAGCATGTCAAATTCAATAGCCACAGAGCGGATTTTATGCGCCGCTTTTATAAAATTTAATGTTCATTCAAACCAGACAAAAATTCAATTGTAAACACCGAAGCCCAACGCGAAACATATTTTATGTAAGTTAAACAGCGTTACGGCTCTATCAGAGTCCATCAAAACAAATATACATAATAAAGCTGCGTTCATTTGGTAAAACGTAACCCGCACATATCACGTAATGTGATATAATCTTCTAGCACGAAAACATAAAATTTATAAAAATGAATATACACGGTCGCAACGAGATGGAATATTCTTTCTGAGCGGTGTGGCTTCAAAATATTTATCTCTCTAAAATGGTTTTACCTACATTAAATTAAACTTAGTTGTACGTAACTGTTTTCATTGCTCTTCCACAAGGTGATTTCTTTATGCCTTTCGTTACTCACACGTGATTTGAGCAACAATGCAACAATTCTCACGAGTTTGTTTTTTCACAAAAGGAGTGTAGCGAAGCGAGTGTTTAATGTGACGGTTCCAGCGCTTTGCTGAGGGGCTAGTGAGAATATGACAAGAATATTCTGTAAAGGCAGTACTTTTCTTCCTGTGGCTTGGGGTAACACATACCTTGGGGCAGGTATTAACTATTAATTTTGCTGCTCCATTTCCTTTTTATATCAAAAAAATACTTTATATCTGAAGAAATGATGATCTTTTGGACCCATATTCATTCTTTTTCTTAGATTGCAGATCAAGTGAGAACTGCCACACTAATGACAATCCAATTTTAACTTTCTGGCCTAGTATTTCCAAAATTCTCGGATATGTCTTATTTGAGTCAATGATTTGATTTGTAGGACCTACATAATAAGTTGATCTAGTTGATTAATATAACTTGCCCGATCAAATTATATTTTGAGAAATCCATTTCACTTTAAAAACGTTATCGGGACTGCTTCATTTCGTTTGCCACATTTTGTTTGAACTATTATACAGGGCGAAGGTGAGAAGTTCCCAAATTGTAAAAATAAAAAAATGAAATCTTATTAACTTTTGCACTACATCTTTTATGATATAAAGTTAGGTATGAGAGTATTTTTCCTATGTTTTTTTGTAGTAGTTTTGACCTTATTGGTAAAGGTACAAGCGTATATAAAAATTGAACTTTTTTTTAAGAAAAAGAGTTGTTTATGAATTGTAATAGAGAAAGATGTCTACAATTAAAATCTAAAAAAAAAGCTACCTTTAGCTGCCACTCTCTAGGAAAATATCCTTAATTTGTCACGTGAGTTAAAAATGAAAGTTTCTTTTTATAACCAATATGAATGAATACAAAAATGCTTAATAGTTAAGTAGATTTTAATTCAGCCTATGTTTTGTTTCAAATTTCATTTAATGCATTTTTTGATTTGTGATACATTGTTTTTCTGTTTGCATGTGTTTCAAAGTAACATGTAAAAAGTAATATTTTAAGTATAAATTATTCAGTTTACACAATTTTTGTAACCGTAATAGTGCCATAGATTGTTTACGCCGTCAACTAATTATTGCAGAAAAAGACCTAGGGCCAGTTTCTGAAGAATTAGGTAAGTATTGTAGCAAATGTTACTCTAAATGGAACGCGAAAATGTAAAATATTCAGCAAGAAATCGCATCGATTATTATCTTTGACGTTTTAATCTATTTTTCAATAATATTTTAAATGTCGTTTTAATAGTTCAATATTAAGACACTATTGAAGTTAGTAATTCAACTTTAGTTATATTTACATTCAGATATTATTCATTTGAAGTACAAACTACTTGCTTTTAAGTTTCGAAAAAATATAACTCGCATTTTTCATTAATAATTAATAATTAATAACCTTTTCCGGGGTCTTTTTAAAAAAGGCACTATCAACACTTTTAGCAAATCAGTTCAAAACCATCCTTTATCATCTATATTAATTAATTTGGCTCATCTTAGTTTGAGGTCAAGTAAGAGCGATATTCAACCTGATTTGCCATGGTAATTGGTATCAGCAAAAATTATCAAAAATCATTTGAAGTGAAGGTATAATTCGGTGACCGAAAAATAGCCTACCTATTTCTTCATACCAACATCTCAGTAGTTTCTCGTTTAGCATTTTTGTTTATAATGTGATCTATTTTTTTTCAAATATTCAATAATGATATATAGTATTATTAACCGAACAGATATACCACAAATATCGTAAAAATCATAATTTTGGACGATCGGTGTTGAGAGATATGCTGTCAAAGCCAAATGTCCAATGTTTCACATAAGATCGTTCCACAGTGCAGCGCTGTAGTCACTTCAGTAGATATCAATCCTTGGAAAATAACATTTTTTTGGGCGTACTGAAACCTGGTTAAATTGTGTTCTGATTTGAAAAAGCGACAACCTTGATGCGCAATTCTTTTTAACTTAATTCGTTTAAATTTATCTGTTTCATTCATTTATCAAATCGTGTAGTTTTCATAAGGCAGTATATTCTTTACGCCAGTAATAAAGCACAATAACTTCTTTACAATTTATTTACGAAATTCAAATTTTAACCATTTGTAGAAATTGTTATTGTCGTTATTCCCATAACCCATATCGTTTTTATCACCATAGAAAAACATTACTTTGCAAATCGAGTTTTATTTTTTTTTTGCGAATTCAAGCTCACAAGGGATGTTACTTGATATACTTGAAAATTTTAGAGCGTTTCATCGAATTTCGTTTTTCTACAGAAATCTAGATGGATACTAGACTATTTCGAACCCGTAACGGTAACGCATTTATTCTTCTATCCAATTTTCTACCAGTCGTACTAAACGGCTTTTCGGGAAAATGAACGTTCGTGGTCCTTTGCTCCGTGTAATAAAAATTCATAACTATGTAATTACCATTTTCTCCGTTGTAGCGAATGTCCTCGCCATCTTCCCTTCGCCACATGACGTAAGGTTCAGGATATCCAGTCGCTTTGCAAGTCAAACTGACGTTAGTCGATTCTAAAACAACCATGTCGGAGCTTGTCTCGCGATCTATGATGCTAGGGGGTACTGAAACGAATAAAATATAAGTGATAAGAGCTTTATTTAAGATAGCGTTATTAAAGTGTTGAAAAACAAAATATTGATGTTACATAAAGAAATATGGTTTATATGGTGCTATATTTTCTTCATTAGTTATTGTAAATATATATTTTTTTTTCGGTATTTTGAAGCAGAACCTTAACAACTTCAGAAAGACAAATTTCGAAGAAATAAAAAGTGTTTTTTTTTATTTGCTCCTATAGTTTTGAAAATACTAAATTAGAATTTGGTGGTAAACTCAATATTTAAGTGTATTAATGATTTGGGGTTGGCACTCAATTTAACCCTCTCCCATTCCAACAAACAGTTATTAATCTTTTGAATATATATAGAATAGATAATTTATTTGTATTAAAAAGATTACGGGAAAAGTTCGATAAATTTTTGGAAAATTGGTAATACTGGATATACCATATTTTTTAAATTCAGAAATAACGAACCATTCATTAAGCTCTTTAACATCGGGGTAAAAGCTTGAGGTTCGATAAGGCGGAAAATCATTTATTTTCCAAACATTTATAGAATATAAAATCCCATTGAAATTTATCGGGCAAATGCGGGACAATTATAGAAACATTATTTTATCGAAATTTAATTTACTGAGAAATTATAAATATTTCTTGAATATATATAAATCATCGAGAACGGATCACGAGGCTACAAATTTTAAAAAATAATTAGATCGAATTCATTCTAAGATGAAAAGTGGTTTAGCAACTTATAACTTTTGAAGTAGTGTTAAAAAGATGTATGAGATTTCTATTAACAAAAAGACAAGACTACAATATAGAACATAAAATTTTGTACTGTTTTTTTCATGTTAAAAAAAGTTGACATTGAAAGTTGACAATTACCAGCTAATAGTCAAAAAAATAAAATAAAAATTATCATTAGCTTACTTATGTCCAAAACAAAACGCAACATTTGTCTAATAGTATACTATGCAGCCAGTTTTAGCCATTTACCCATTTAGTATAAAAGATTTACCAAGATGCTGCATACTATATATGGGACACTTTTCGGATGTATGATAGGAGGAGTAGAAAAGTTACGTTATCACTCATGGAGTTAGAATAAATTATAAATAAATTGATCCTTTCCTACTCTAAAATACGCAATTCAGTTTTGATTTTCTGCCGCTCCGCTTGTCATAAATAAAACGCGTGACTAAAATGCCGTTGAACAAATTTGTTACTTAACATACTATTATATTCCTCATAGTTTGTTTCGAAATCTCTATTTTACTTTTATATAAAATGTTTACTCCAATTGAAATTGGGAAATATCTGCATCGCCGGTATTTTTCCTATGCCGTAATAAAAAAATTGATTTATTTGTTAAAAATTGATCACCTTTGAACCAAGAACTCTTACAGTATAGGACAGAAGGATTGTATAAATTCCCATTCATATTTTTGTGGCAGAAATTTCACCCACTTTAGGCGTACAATACAATATAACAATAAGTTACGGTTTGTGGATGTATACGGTAAAATGCTTTTCTCTCACTGAAAGGCAAGAAATATATCGGCATATCTCAAACAATAATTTTCGTATTCAAACACAGAAACCCACATATCTTTCGGTTAAACCTCACCCGTGACACATTCAATAACCGAAAACAAATTGACATTGCCAAGTTTAAAACGTTTTAAACCTGTATAAATCTTTTATCAATGTAGGTCGGCCGTATTTCATCGCAATTTCAATAACAAAAAACATCTCAATTCAGAGCCAGTATTTTTACGATTTCCGTGTTCGTTTAACGAGATATTTTATTAGCGTAAAATAGGGACAAGCGGCTCCGTTAGCTGAAGGTTTAATGCACGCACGCAGGGTGTCTGTGTCGGGCACATGCAAGTACGAAGGGGTTTTTGCAAAGTTTTTTCAATCGACTCTGGGTTGCACCAAGACCCGTGGAAATTTAAATATTTACACTGTGGTTGCGCGGTGTATGGAAAAGTAGTTAGGTTCATTTGGGGAAAACATATGCAATACTTGCAATTACTTTGTTTCAGTTGATAAATTTAAATAAATGTTTTACACATTGAACTGAACTGAATGCTTAGTGGACGTACTATGGATTAACTTTAATAATGGCCACTGGGAAATACATAGTGAATAATTTGTAACATTTTTAACGCTGCTTACAGAGAGCGCTTGTTGTATCTGTAATGTAAACCACGTTTCAGAAGCAAAAGTTCCATTCTATTTTACATGGAAAATGTAAGTACCCTTGTATGCTCTTAATAAATAAACTTATTTAAAAAAAAACATGTCTTAATGCAATAAAAAAATAAAATTTAATCAGGTAATACGAAACTGCAAAATATCAGCTTTTAAAGAAAAATATCTATGGAACAGGTATGAATTTGCGTAGCAGTTTATATCAGGCACGAAATCAACCATTGTTGTATTTTGGAGAACGGCCTAGTTCGTAGGTCGTAAAAAAATGCAACCACACGTGAACATTAAAAGGCGAAGTTCCGATATACTAACACGTGCTAAAAATACCAATTCTCAAGAAGTATTCTATATATTCAGCATGTTTTAGGAGAGATTTGCAATGATGAAATAATGATATTTACGGTTTACTCCAAAAGTTCTTGTGGATTTGTTCAGAGTTAAGAGAATTACATCTTTTCTCATCGTTTCAAACCATCTAGATACAGAGAAAACATAATTTGTTGTTTACAAATTTGTATTTTCCTTAATTATTATTCATTTAGGTTAAAAAAGTTACAATAAAACATCCGCTTATAATATTGGACCAATCATTGTAACCTGTTGTATTATTGGTATTAAAGGGGGCGCCCTCGCGGGCGTCCAAGCACTTAGGCCACCAGATGGGCCCGTTGTGCCCATTGTAATCTGTTTCCTTGTAGTTTAGGGTAATAAAAAATTGGTTTTATGTACAATGTGGAAAATTTGCAAAATTCAAGACCTGATTAAGTAAATCGCAAAATTGATAAGATTTTGGCAACCACATTAATCAAGCTGAAGATAATCAGTAAATACAATAAAAGCTACGGTTAGTTCCACTGGGCATAAAATTACCTTACCAACAACTTGCAGATATCCTTGTCTTGATCTCATCGGATCCGTGTTGATTTGACACATATACCATCCCCGATCCACTTCCTGTACATTTTTTATATGAAGATACCACGATCGGTGGTCGTTGTATGATAGGCTTATCCTGGGATTTTGAGTTATCACATTGTGGTGGATTGAAAGAATCGTTTGTGTATCGACGCGTACCCAAGCTACCTGCAAATTAACAAAAAATGCTTGGTGCGCAGAGTGAAGCGGTTTTTATTAAATGCTGAATGTTTTCCATTATGCAATGATGAATTTATTCTTTTTTCAAATACATTTTAAATACTTTAGGAAAAATGGATAACTTTGCCCAATCCTTAATATATTACGAACGCTCTATCTGGTGCGCTTTGTGAGCAATGTATGAGAATAGTGTTGTATAGACCAACAGTGAAAATCAAAATAAGATGTCCCGAATGGTGGTAGTGGTAAAAAAGATAAGTGTTCTCCAAGTTACACTTAAAAATTACGATAGTTTGATATTTCGAGAAATGCTCTATATGTGCTGTTCAGATCACCAGTATAAATTTTTTAAAAAATACCTTGAATGATGGTAGTCGTTAAAAGGATAGAAACAAGTGAAACTTAAAAATTACGAAAGTTTGAACACGAATAGATAAAGATGTCAAATTTGGAATTTATTTTTAACGACATGATTTACAACGCAATATTCACAGAAGAGATGAAAAATATTAAGAACTGTTATCGCAACATTAAACAAAAAAAAATTATTAACACATTAAATTTTTCTAATTCCATATTAGGATTTCTTACTTTCTTTAGCACTTGTACATTAATTTTGAATTTAAAATACGACTAAATAAATATATAACATTCGGATTCTCCGTCACGAAAAAGGTCACATCGCTCAATACCAATTCTTTTTCAAAAACGCAATCACAAAACGCAAGTGTCACAGCTTACTTATTTTAAGTATTTTATTTATTTGTATGTAATAAAAAATAATAAATTTATGGGTTCTGCCCTTTTCTGCAAGAATGTATGAGCGTGTAACTCACTAAGCCTAATTCTAAAAATCAAGTCTTACTTTCAATGGCATGGTTTTAACGATTCACATATCCCACAGAGTCTATGAGGGATAATTTGTGACACGCCCTGTATATATAATTTTTTTTTAAATCTCATACTCTCCAAATGTTACACTGCAAAACAGGATCCAAGAAAGTCACGCGAAAATGAAAAGCTATCTCCGGATAAACTAAGAGAACTAAAAGAGTCAGTTCTTGGAGTGCCGGCATCGACCTTACACGAAGTGAGCCATTAATGGGATGTATCTTCTGACATAAAGTACGGCTCATTTATTACCATAACGCCGCCGTCGTCTTGGTCGTGGCTCTGTTTCAAAATTGATAGGTGCAGGTTTACAGTCTCCTGAGGTATGGCAAGTGACACGGAATGCATATTTTATTCAGCGGATTAATGCTCGTATTTTTCTCATCGAATATGCAAGCGGTGTCTGAGTAACGGGGGGGGGGGGGGCTGTATTTTTGATGCTCTTGTTTCTGCTAATGATAATGAGAATAAATTTAAGTTCTGTCACTCTTGGCTACGATCAAGGCGCAAACTTTTCTTTATTGGGAAATATATAAAATATATTTTTCCAATTTTCCAGTTTAAGACAAAACTAGATTATTCTTGTTTAATTTCCGTTGATGACGCATTTTTTCAGCAACGATAAAACGAATTACATTTGCAACAAAGATTGGGAGGTGTTAACAAGTCGTGAAATGACCTCATTTATAAAAAAAAAGTATTTCATGGTTACTGAGTTAAATAAAAAACATATTTATATGTATTATTGCCTTATTTGCAGCCCTCAAAATGTCCATCCCACTATTATTTTCAGATTTATTTCGTAATTTATAAGAAGTAAACGCAGTAAGTAGAGCATACCTTCCTATAGTCAGGGTTAAATCCAAATTCAAAAAATTTTGGTTCTTAGTGAACTCTATATCTGGAATGGTCCCACAAGAGTGACAACTATTAAAATTCTGAAAAGGGAACTTCCATTTCGCCACAAGGGATGTGATATTGACAAAAGGAGGGTCAAGTGTTAAATGAAATGTAAATTTTTTGTACCCATAACCAAACTGCCCTTTGGCAATTTTAATTACGTACTGTGACCTGAAATGTTTCTTTATTTTTTTTTATTTATTTATTATTTAATGAAATTTAATGAAAAAAAAATTTTGCACATATTTAAAATTAATCAATTCTTTAAGGAGATAAGTAATAGTATATGACGCAACAAGTTTGGTAAGCAGCATTTTAGTCACAAGCGTAGCGCAGCAGAGCAAGTGCTTAATAAACGAGTGACTTTTATTAAACGTACATACTGTACTTTATCCATGACAATTAGTTTTGGGTACATTTTTGATCGTCAGAACTGACAAACGTCAAAATTCAGGCGGTGGGTAATATCTCCGAAAACATGAGATCACTCCCAAACACGTGACTAATACTCCTAGGTAAAGATTAATTTCTGATTTCTTGTATTCAAGTAGTTCAATTGCAAATTATCAAATATTCGTCATTTTCAAACATTATTTTAAAGTGTTCCGAAGTTAATCAGTGTGACAAAGTTAACTTCAAAAAAAAATTCAAAATTACGAAAATGTTTCGAAAGATGGTCTAGGAGTTGTTTTGACCTTTAAAGTTGTCATCATTTTTTATTAGATTATACATTGATATATGGCTTCAGTTACTATAAAAACTATATAAATATATGAATCAATTGAATTTCCGTGGATTGGCACAGCGATCTATACCGTTTAATTAGTAAATGTTACAGGCTAGTGATACTTTTCGATCGCTTTCATTTGAATAGAATGATTAATTGATACTTCAGTCAGTGGTCTTTTATTTAAAAATTAAGTTAATTAAGAGATCACCATCAATCAAACTCAACTTGGACAGGTCGATAGGAATAAAATCGCTGTTTAAATTAACATTGGTTATATTGGTACACAATTCTATATACTCATCTATAACCAGTACATATTACCATTGTAATTGGAAAAAAACCAAAACGAAATTTGTTTTTGTCATCAGTGTTTTGGCCAGATTTTATTCGGCAAAATGCTATTCGTCATCTTCGTTCCGATCCGATCCGTTGGTTTCATGCATTGCAATGTTTACTCTATACATAGTCTTCTCAAAATGCCTCATTATGAGGCTATTTGTTTTGACAGTGACCGTGTTCGGCAATATTATTTATGCTTGTTTGGTGGTTTTATATTTCGACTCTACTCTTTAGCCGCAGAGTCAGTGGCGGTACATTACATTTTCACTGTAAAATTATTATTAATAATAAAAATATAAGAATTTTAAATTTACTTATATGAGTCTTTTGAAAAAGTTTGGATGAACTTATTAACGTAAAAACATTTTTTTCTCCTATAATAGTCTATTCATGATTGATCAATATAATTAAACTTTTTACAGAGATAAACAAGTTTGAATTGTGGTATTTGGACCGATAAGTATTCATCGCGTTCTTTTTGATGGCATCCATTAAAAGTCGAGTTTTGGAAATATGAAAATGAAAGGGAACCGCACGGCATCAAACAGGCGATTTATAAATGGTAATACGTAAATAGAAGGAAATATTTTCAGATAAGAGACCATGAATATTTCGTGGGATATATAATTTTGAAAGACGAAATTAAATATCGTTATCATCTACAACTCTATCTTTATTTATTTTCATTATTACTCAATTTGATAGACTGGCCAACATCGTGCTTCCAGTTTAAGTATGGAGGAAAGACCAAAAATCCTAAAATGAAATCATAATGAAGGCAGATCCATACACTAAATTTTTAAAAAGGTTATCACCAGATCTATTCTAGCTTAACATGGGCCATATCAAAATACATTTAATTTAGAGCACATATTTTATATATCTAATTTAATGCTTATTGCTGCGTTTTGTTAATATCCACAATTTTGTACTTTTACCCTTAACCAGAACTCATAGTTCCATATATGCTCAAAATTTGACATATAACGTAATAATAAAAATATTTCTTTTAAAAATACGAAACTTTCTATGCCTGTCTATCGAGTTTCATTTTCAGTTTAATTCTTTGATTCATTTCTTACATTATAACTATTAGAGATCTAGTTCTAGATCTAGATCTAATTTCAAAATCAGCACTATATTGACGAAATATCTAGAAAGCAAATTAGGCGAAGACGCTCCTGTAGGAAATAAATTGGGACGATAAATCGTAAGGGAGGAGAAAGAGAATCACATCATTTCCAGCGCTGAATAGCTATAAAAACAAAGGACCAGCGCATTCGCGAAATAAAATTCCAATCATTTACGCAGTATTGAACAGAAAAACAATATTTAAAGAAAACATAAAACCCGCATAACATGAAATGTATTGTTTGTATTAAATATGCTGTTTGATACCATTACAAACATTTTTAGATTGCTCGTGAACACACCAAATTGGCGATTTTTATTACAAATATAATGCCTATAAATTTCACCTAATGCTGCCATTATATACGCCTTTCAGAATTTAATAAGTCACCTCTGGAAAACTAAACAAATTCGAAAAGACATTATGCATTTTGCCAACTTTAGGTTATTGACAGTTTTGTTTTATCTTGGTCCTGAGGTGAGATACTTAATTTATGAAGAGTAATTAATTGTAGAACATGAGCATGCAATTAACGAAATACTACTGAAAACACTTACTCTTACAGCATTCCCATTCAAGAGACTTAATATGAAAATTTTGAGTAACATCACTTCAAACTCACCCAAAAATTAGCTATTACTTTAAATTATGTTAAAGTCTAAATTAACCCTTTCAATGAAGCTTTATAATATATTTAAACCCTATTAATTGCATGTACACTGCATTCGCTAGTAGAACAACCATGAACCGGACCTTTACTACTCATTAATCAATGAAAACATAAAATGATTTACCATTCACAAGTTGCTTGCTTTTGTAAAGATTTACAGCAAATCATTTCTCTTTGCATTCTATGTGAACCAATTTACCTTCATTTACCGATACACGTGCGAAATTGTGTTCCCTCATTAACCTTCTTGATTTACCTACCTTTATACGAATTGGTATTCACAACGGTTGATATACATTAAATTGAACATAATTGCTTTCATCTCC